GCTGAGCTTTGAACACTGTAGAGTCTGGACTCAGACAAAGGCGGCGTGTGGAGCGTGGAGCCGCCGGGCCTCAGGAGCCGCTCTGATGCAGCTTCAGCTCCTGTACGCTCCTGCAGGGTCATTGTGGAGCATTAAGCAGGAGACGGAGAGGTTGAGGAGGTCTCAGCGGGCCTGGACCAGCTGCTCCACAACACACACACACACAGAGAGAGAGAGAGCTGCGTCCGCTCTGATCCCGCCGTATGAAAGCAGAAGATTGGTCCGGCCGCGGGTCAGGAATCGCGGCCTCTGATTGGCTCTCTCAGACGCTGCATTTGCGTCCGCTCTTATATCGCTGCTCATTGGCATCCGCTTTGATCTGTGCGCATCTGCGGAGGCTCTTCTGTCTGCAAATTGAATGTTATTACTGCAGCGAGCGTCTCTGCTTTCATTCGCTGGTGGAGCTCAGCGTCTGATGGAGATTAAAGGAGCCGTGCGGACCGAGAGCTCTTCATCATCATCATCATCATCATCTTAATTATAGATCTGATCTGATCGCTGCTGGCTTTAATCTACCGCCCCCAATATAAACACACACACACACACACACACACACACTTATAGAGATGAGCACATGCAGTAACTCAGTGCGCAGTGATCAGAGCGCTGTCTCTCAGATATCTTGTGTTCATCAGAGTACAGCGGTGCTCTCTATCATGCGTCTCTCCTCTGGTTTGTTTAGTTTGACTGAGATAACAGCAGGTTTGAATGTTTTTAAGCTCAATATCAGTATCTCTCTTTATTAATATAGATATTTCCTGATTGTCCTGTTCATTTTAAAAGTTCTCCATTAAGCAGCCCTTTGGGAAATATTTTAAAGTAAATAAAATAATATTATTATAATTACAATTAAGAAACTTTGCACTAAAAATAGAGTTTTGCTGCTTGATCAGAGTACTTTTATAACATGCAGTTTCTGGGATATTAATTGGGAACTTAATTGATTTAAGTCCACTTCAGTGTGTTATGCTACCTGTAGACCTGTCACCACATCTGCATTCTGTTGTAGGATATATCAATAAATATATAATGAAACTATCTATATATATAATTAACATGATAAATATGTTAATGTGTTGTGTAAAAATCAGACACAGACTCCACCACACGTATACAATATCCAGGAGAATATGAGTAACAGACCCTGTCGTGTAGTCACTGGGATGAATTCTCGGTGCTGTTTCGCAATACTCCATGTGTTTGCATATGTACAGCTGCAGTCTGCAGAGTTATTCACCCCCTTTAATTTATTTTTTATTTTTGAAACATCTCCCAGATGATGATGATGTTGAACAGATTCAGGAGTTTCTCTCAGTGTAATCTCTGTTCTTCTGGAGAAAGTCTCGTCAAAACAGAAATGCAACCCTCACGACTCAACTAGTCGGTTATGATTGTGGAGCACTGTTTACCCCTAGCAAACATGAATAAATAATCATGCAGACGATGCGTCCAGGCTTCTGTGTGCTCTCATCTGGTATTTCCTGATGTCTGGAAGATATCGGCATGAGGGAAACTATAGTCATTTATGATGAACATGCTCCTGAAGCACACAGTGAGGTGTATAATGTGTGCAACACACTGCTAATGAACGCTGCAGAACACTGCACACTCGAAAATAACTCAAGAGGTCTGTTAGCGCGACATAGTTTAATACATTACTGTAACTTACAAATCCTAGAGTGCTGATTAGATTAAAACTTTTAAGCTGACAGAATAAGTTATTAAGTTTTCAAAACAGGAAAATATTGAGAATTTATTATTATTTATTTATTATTATTAATTTATTATTTATACTGTTCATATGGGACAGTGCATGTTTTTGTTTTGTTAAACAATGAAAACCTGAGGGTGAGGCAGTGGTGCAGTAGGTAGTGCTGTCGCCTCATAGCAAGAAGGTCGCTGGTTCGAACCTCAGCTCAGTTGGTGTTTCTGTGTGGAGTTTGCATGTTCTCCCTGCCTTCGCGTGGGTTTCCTCCGAGTGCTCCGGTTTCCCCCACAGTCCAAAGACATGCGCTACAGGTGAATTGGGTAGGCTAAATTGTCAGTAGTGTATGAGTGTGTGTGTGAATGTGTGTGTGGATGTTTCCCAGAGATGGGTTGCGGCTGGAAGGGCATCCGCTACGTAAAAACTTGCTGGATAAGTTGGCGGTTCATTCCGCTGTGGCGACCCCGGATTAATAGAGGAACTAATCTGACAAGAAAATGAATGAATGAATGAAAACCAGTGGTTTAATACAAATGAACAATTACAAGCAAGAACATTCATTCATTCATTCATGTTCTTGTCGGCTTAGTCCCTTTATTAATCCGGGGTCGCCACAGCGGAATGAACTGCCAACTTATCCACCACGTTTTTACGTAGTGGATGCCCTTCCAGCCGCAACCCATCTCTGGGAAACATGAACAGAAAACCTGAAAACAAACAAAAATTAAACAATTTCGGCTGCTTAATTTATTCGCGGTTCTGAACTGGTAAATGTGCATGTAATTAAGTGCATAACTCTGGAACGTCTTCAATTTTAATAAAAAACTAATTGAAGCAACTTATTTTTAGAGTACTGGATTAAAAATGTGGGTTTTGGCCATGTAAAACTGCCTCTGACTGAAGAGGAAAGATTTGTCTGACATGATAAAGTTTGTTGTCTGAAGTAATTTTGTTAGATGTTGTCGTGACTTGAATTTATTAATGCACACTGTTGTGTTTATCTCTTTTGTTTTGTCTAAACAGTATTGTTTAGACTGTACTATAGTAAACTGATCAACGTTAGTAATAATACTGTATCGCTAGTGTACACCGTGGTGCATCGTGATGATTAATA